GGGCTTCCATGTTCACCCTGAGGGTGTGTCTGCATTCAGTGATAGAGAGAGAGAGAGAGAGAGAGAGAGAGAGAGAGAGAGAGAGAGAGAGAGAAGTGAGGAGGGGCACATGATGGGAAATCCAGTCTGCGTGTCCAGGAAGAGCAATCTGTGAGGCCTCCCCTACTCCATCACCACTATAATTTATATTATGTAATAAATATTCAGTTTCACCATGTTATCTGGAGAAACCAAGAATGGAAAAGAACGAACTTACGAATGCTTCCCTTATCCCCAAATAGAGGTTTATCTTCGGAGGTATCAATACTGGTGTTGTGACTTCTAAATTCCTTTCAGCTCCAATGAAAGGGATTGCAAAATGTTCTTGGAGAGCAAATTAACTATCACAAAAGCTTTGCGTAAAGACAAACAAAAGGGGAAAGAGAGACTACTTGGTCAGGCGGGTTTGTAATATTCCCAGTTTTCAGATGTAGGTGCCCAGTTCATCTTATCTCAATTTTGTTGGAATAGTCATTGCCCCTTTACAATCTCACACATTTAACTATCCTCCCTGTTGGGGAGACAGGCAGGGGGATGGGTTATAGGGAAGAAGACCCAAGGATTTGTGATGGAAAGGAAGAAGGACTAGAGCTATGGGAAAGCAGAAAGCTCAGGCCCTGGTTCTCTGCGGGAATTTCATGGGTCCCCTGTTAGGAAGGGACTTGTCTGATTTCCATGAAATCACTGATGCCAGGCAGCCCCTCTCCTCCCCTGAACCTCTTCCTTAGGTTGAACGGTTTCACTCCCCTCCGTGTCCACTGTGTAGGTTTATTTTAATTTTTACATCTGCCATAAAAATGAGCTCCTCATAAAAACTTATTACTTCATTGGTTTCCCCTTTTTGTGACCTTTCTCCCAGGGATGCCCTCTGCTACCTTCTGCAGAATGTCATGTGTATAATTTTCTTTTATTAAGAGACCATAAAATAGAAGACAAATAGTGCCCATCATTGTGGATTTATAACCATAAGCACAAGGAACTTGGTAAAACTTGTAATAAAATATATGTATTTGGAGAAATGTAACAAATTCTTAATAGCAAAATAGGGATGAGAAAATTGCATATATTATTCCTTTCACATTTCCAACATTGCTATGAAACAGATATTATTATCCCATTTTTTTAATAGAAAGGAAATATGAGGCATTAAGTGTTTAGTCATATTTCCAGGGTCTAATAGCTGCTATTGTAGGAAGGTTTTCAACTCAGTTTTTATTCCAAATCCTGTGAATTCAATCTTTATACCAGGTTACTTCATCCTGGGATTTATACTTTAAAACACTCCTCATTTGCTCTTAGCTACTACTTGAAAGTCTAAAACAGGAAATGGGGGTTGTTGGATCATAATGACTTCTTAAATTCATATCTGTGCATTGTATTGGACAAGGTGTTAGAAAAAATCCTGCCCCTAGCATCTCATGTTTGATCACATCAACACATCTTAGTATTTCTGGTAGCCTGCCTGCGTGTGCCACTTGAGTTTTATTTGGATGTAAGAGCTTGCATTTCACTACTGATGCCTGGCTTATCCTTTAAGATTTACTTTGAATTCCACAACTTCAAAGAGTCTTCTCTAGATTTCCTCAAAAGAAAGTGTCTTCCTTTCCTATACTCATAATATTTTGTCAACATTTTATATGTTCAATGGCGTTTTTTATATGTGACTTTTTTTCTATCATGTAAGGGTTTCTAGAAGGAAGGATCATATATTGGATATATTTTTGCACTTGACAATGCATGCCTGCGTAGAAGAGCCTTTACATGAGTGTGGTATGGACATTTGCTGAAAGGAGGTCAAATGTCTTTCCTTAGCTTGAATATAATACTTTTTAAGCTTTGACATTGAATGGAGAAAATTCTATTATGAATTATTGATTTTACTTCAACCTATCTTTCTTTAAGAAATTCTAGAAAAGAAACAATTTTAAATAAAAGTGATAGGTAAGAAAGGAACTTGATTTATTAGGTAGCTTAGTCTTCTCAGACTTTTCCAAATTTGCTCTAAAACTTGTATCATCAACTTTTTTGCTTTAATAGAGTGGGTGAGATATTTATTAAAATTGCAAATTGTACCATTTATGTTTTACCCATGTAAGAGATATAGGGACACACCACAGGCTTTGCATCCAGTGTTACTAAGAGCAGTGCATGATCACATTTTAAAAACTGAATTGTCTTGTATGAAAAATAAACTCCTGGGTTCAAAAGACATTGTGATAATTCATTTGGTTTATTTATTTGCTTCTTTGAAATCATTAAAAAAAAGTCCAGCTTCATTTCGTAGACCTTGAGAAAGAAAGATTTCACATGTTGTAAACAATGATGAAAATATTGATCTTCACAATAGTAGTGTGGTAAAAATGTAAAAAAAAAAAACTTCTTTCTCTTGTTCTACAATTGGAATCAGTGTTTACTTGTTCATTAGTTAATTTTTTCCCCTTATGTGTCTTCTGCCTTTTTGCTTTAAGGGAGCTTTGATTTTCTATGGTAGCTTGTTATGGTTAGATGTGAGGTGTCCCCAGAAAGCTCATGCATAGGATAATGCAAGAAAGTTGAGAGATGACGTGATTGGTTTATGAGAGCCTTAACCTAATCAGTGCATTAATTCTCTGATAGGGATTAACTGGTAACCGTAGGCAGGCAGGGTGTGGCTGGAGTAGGCGCTTCCTTGGTAGTGTGCTTTTGGGTTTATAATTTGTGGTGGTGAGGAGAACTCTCTCTCTCTCTCTCTGCTTCCTGGTGTCATGTTCTGAACTGCTTTCCTCCATCACACTGTTCTGCTGTGATGTTCTATCTCACATCAGTCCCTGAGGAAAGGAATCAGCTGTCTATGGACCGAGACCTCTGAAATTGCCAGCACCAAATAAACTTTTCCTCTTCTAAAATTATTCTTTCAGGTATTTTGTTCATAGCAATGAAAAAACTGATTAAAACATAGCTGCTCTTGAAATTGGCCAGAATCAGTTCAATGAATTAAGAAACAATTGATTTCTAGTCCACAGATTTTTTTAGTGATCATTTTTCCTTGAAGTAGTTCTTTTCTTTGAAAGGCTAACTGGACATTCTGTTTAAAGAAATCATTCTCATGGTTGTAATTCCAATAAATTATGCTATCTATAAAGCTATGATTACGTGGAACACTTAAGCTATCTTATGTTGTAAGTAGAATGACCATGAATTTGGACAATTACAACCATGCTAATGATCTTATTCTGTGATTAAAACGTGGTCATGTTTCCTAAGAGAAAGAGCTTGTGCTTAACTTACAGGATCTTGAGTCTTTCAGATTCCTACTGTTTTCTAAGGTGTCTCTTATATTTCAAATGCAAAGCTTAATTTTGTTGTTATTGGGGCTGCTGACAGAACCATGGAGTTGGTAACCCAGTGTGTTGCATTGCTCTCTGACAAGCATCAAGGAAGTAGGAAGTCTAAAGTAGATAAAAAAATTTGACAGAAACCTCCAGTAGGGCAAATGAGGGTGACACAGGATATCAATTTTTTGGATAAGTATGTACGATATCAAATGATTTGTTGAAAATTACATACCTTCTATCTAAATTCCTTTGATACAGTATGAAGACAGTTTAAAAAAAACTATTCAAAGAAAGAAAAAGGACATGGGAGAACTAAATGGAAAGGAATAAGAAATAATTAAATTAATACTTAATCCTCATTTATAATGACACCTAGTCTACCTTATGAGAATGCATGCTCTTGTTTACCTCCCAGAAGTCTGAAAGGGAAACACATGGGCACTTGGGGAGAATGCACCGAGTGGCCTTCTGTTGGTTTTCCCTCTCTCCTCTTCCCTGCTTACCTCTCCTTCCCCAGAGATGCCCTTTCTTCAGGGTGATGGGAAGGCCGGGGAGAGAAAGCAAGTCCAGCAGTGAGCTTCCAGATTGCTCTGAATCCCTGCTCAAAGCGAGAGGGAAGTTAGCATCTGTCTTCTCTCAGTGTGGGTTTCCTGAGCAGCTGGGAATTCCTTCCAAGCAATATGGACTTGATCAGATATGACATGGAGGATGGATGGATAATGATACGAGTTTTCAGCCACACTGATTCTGATGGCAGCAGGAGAAGCAACAGAGCCAGCAGGTTCTCTCTCAAAGTGATCGACTCAAGTTATCACATGTGAGTATAGTAGCTGTACATTCTGCCAATGTGACTTAGCGTCCAAACAATGAAATAGTTGAGAGTCACTAAACTACTGATGATTAAGCCAGGACAACAGGCTTAAACCAGGGCCATCCCAGGCAAATCAGGACATTATATATTATATAATGTTCTTTCTCATTGTAACACCATTCTATGCCTGGGCACAAATCCTTCCACTTTCTTTCTCAGATTTTTGCATCAGGACAGAACTAACTAGACCACATAATACTTGGGGCTGTTGACCGCCTGCTTTGTTTGGTTATGGCTCTTCTCATTATGCTGCCATTGGAAGATGCTGGATTTTGTACAGTTAGACAAACCAGAAGAGGAGTCTGCAGTGTAGCCGACTGAGACCTCTTACTCCATGGTCAGCTTCCTTCTGCCTTCCTTACTCACTGTTAAAGGAATACAAATTATTTCACAGTTCTTCAAGTTTGCTCTCTTCTTAGTATTTTTCTCCCACTCCAAATTTTGGCTGTCCAGCATAATAAGTTCACCTTAATTGACTAATTTAACTTTCTCTGTTACTTCCAAAGTTGACGCCTCTGCCCTTCCCTGAGAATGAAGATTTCCTTCTTCAATTAACACCTGTCATCCTGATTTTTCAGAGAAATGGTTGCTTAGTTCTTAGTTTTTCTATTTTATACAGAATGAATTTATCTGATTTTTTAGTATTTTAGTATTCTCACTAACAATTCAATAATATTTGAATTCCAAAAGACAAGTACTTAATTAGTATTTAGTGCACTTCTCTTTGGAAGCAGAGTAATGTTTTAGGGAAAAAAAATCATACTTTTTAGAATGAAAGTAAAAAGTTCTTTAAAAATGTACTTCTTATATACCATTTAAATATTTAGAAATTTAAGTATAGGAAATTGGTTGTTGTCTCAAATATGTAATAATTTTGGATGAAATACAAATAATTTTAAAATCACTTGTTGTATACTAGTAAAACAAAAGGTAAATGTTCTAAAGTCAAAAAAATCAAAAGTTGGCTATTGCACTCTAGATTATGTATTTATCCATTTATTAATACAAATTTTTTAAAAATATTTTTTTAGTTGTAGTGGGACACAATACCTTTATTTTATTTATTTTTATGTGGTGCTGAGGATTGAACCCAGCGTTCCACATGTACTAGGCGAGCGCACCACCGCTGAGCCACAACCCCAGCCCTCCATATAGATTTTCGTCTTTGCTTTTATGCCTACTATTGAACCTAGGAAAATTATTTTATTTTGTCAATACTTTCAAATCATGAAGCTAATCATCATTGACATGACCATAAATAGAAAAAAAAATGAGAAATAAGAAAGAAGCACATCCAGAAAGATGGAGCAAGATCTCCAAGATCCAATTCCTCCACAACAGCAGCAAGAATACTGACCAGCCTTTTCATATCTCTGAAAATTAATTGAAGGCTGTGGAAGTCTGTGGAGTATTTATTCAAGCATGTATTGAGCTGAAACTTGGTAATAATAGTAAGCTTGGCAGATTTTTAATCTGTCCTATCTGTGCATCTTTCTCTGGCTTTCCGTTTATGAGGGCTGGTTTTTAACAATCCCAGAGAATTGTCACTGGACTTTTCTGCTAGCTTGCTTACCAGCTTGAGGTCCAGTGTTCACAACGTGTATTTGAATGACACGGAGCCTTGCTTTGATAAAGATGCAGACGGTAGTGCAGACAGATCCCACAGCTTCCCCATCGTGAGGCCACAGGGTTTTACCTGTGGGAAGCTGCTCTTGCAAGGGAACAGTGCCAGTGCAGAAGTACAATTCCTAACTCCAGAGACTTCTACCTTGAAAGTATCTTCCTCCTTCCAAATAGAGTCAAGGCCCTGGTTGCATATTTCTCCCCAGAGGAATTGTCACTAGCTGAACTAACATTCCTTCCTTACCAAAGGAAAGGAAAAGATTTTAAACTTGAAAGCACCACAACATTAAAAACAAACAAGCCAACAATATAGATAAACAGATACATAGACCCGAGAGAGGAGTTAAATGAGCAAACAAAATCTTGTCAGAGAAATGGGGGTTGTTCCAAATACTGTAGGGTGGCTCAGTCAGTTTTGTGTTCAGGCAGATTTTGTCTTGCCTTCCTCTGCCATAGAGTCCAGGAAACTGAAAATCTACCATCAAAACACTGCTTTTTGGAGGTCAATCATCATCTAGCTACTATGAGGAAAAGGCAGTGGGAAGGAAAGACCTTGGCCTGACCATTCTGAACTACTGAACCAATGCCAGCAACCACTTCCAAACCTCTTGTTATTTGTGAAAAGTAAACAGGCTAATTTATTTAAGAAACTACTTAATCTGATTTTCTGTTACTCACAGGATAAGTCATTCCTAACTGATGCAGATAGGAAATTGGACATATGAAGCAGAAAAAGTCATTTATATAATTCAACTGGAAATACTTAGTATGAAAAATATGATGGCTTAACTAAAGATCTAAACAGAACGGTTCAGCAACAATGGATGTGATAAAAGACAAATTAGAAAGCTGGAAGATGACGTCCAGGATCTTTCCCAGAAGGAACCTGAAAGAGATAAAAATACAGACATTTAACAAAATTAAGAGTTATTAAAAAATGAAGTAGAAGCACCAATATCAGAATAAGAGGTATTTCTGATATAAAAACAATGAAATAAAGTCATTGAAAAATAATGGCTAAGATTTTCTCAAATTAAGGAAACATATTCATGCATTTAATTGAAAGATTTTATGCAGTATAAAGCAAATAGATAAATGAGCTTACACCAATATATCTATGATGAAATATAAAAAAATCAAATGACTTTGAGAAATTAAAAGCAGATTACCCCAATCTCTCAAGAGCTGTGTTATCAGATTGCTCAATGGCAATATTGGATAATGGATTACTATTTTTATTTTTGATATTGATTATTAAAGCCAGAGCCTCATACATGCTAAGCAAATGTTCTACCACAGAGTCACACCCTCTCTCCACCCCAGAAATACTATTTTTAGAGTGTTGAATAAAAGATATTTGATTATCACTTGAATGCATGAAAAACAAATTCTCACATGCATAATGCTTCAGAGGGCTTACCATGCAAAGCTTCTTTTTTAAAAATACTCTAGAACAAAGATCAGAGATACAGACTGTGGGGCAAAGCTTGTCCATTTTGTACATAAAGCCTTACTGGAACACTGTTCTGTTCATTCATTTATATATTGTCCAAGACTCATTTCCTGCTGTAATGGCATAGTTGAGATGTGACAGATTATATATTCGACAAGCCTAAAATATTTACTGTTAGAGAAATGTTATCATTAGAGAAAAAGTTTGTTAACCTCTTAAGCAAGAAAATAAATAAATCTAGGACATTTTGAGATGAGGGAAGTTAGGATGAGTAAATAACTTAGTAAATGATAAAGGACCAAACCAAAATATATCCCAAAGAATCCAGAGCTGAAGTATTTTATATGATGACCACACAAGAGGGAAGACACCGTGAAAATGGAAATTTCTGGTAAAGCATTTGGCTTGTGCATGCAACACTGTGGGTCTTCAGGTTTATGCTGATCAAGAGCATCACATCTAAGGAGGTGCCATTCACATTATCCATAGGCACATCTTCAGGAGATAATCGGAGCCTGAGTTCTGCTCACTCACATCATTGCCTTTCCGGGAAGGTGGTAGGGTTGAGGCATGAAACTGCATGTGTTTTCATGTATGATGTTTGAGCTGCTAAGAGGGTAGCAAATGTGGGCCTGTAGCTATGTAGGGCTCTGGAAAACCCTCTGAGATAATTTAAAATTATTTTTTCTTGAGGAAAGTTTCCCTTTTTCTAATTCATACAAAATTTTCCCCAGAGCTAACAGCTGCCATTTTAAAGAGGGGCAATTTTTCTATGATAGGTTTTTAAGTGATAGGGGAAGGTAAGTAGATGTGTGTTGTCAATAAATTAGTGGCAACCACTGAGAGTATAAAAATAAAACCAGCAGAAGAATGGTCTGTTTCACCAATGGAAGACAGGAGAAGAGGGGGTGGGGAATAGAAAACATGTTAAATAGAAATGCAAAATAGTCTGTCAGAAATAAATCCAAATGTAACAGCAATTATAATAAATATAAATGCATAAAACCAATTGATCCAAAAGCAGATGCTCAGATTAGATTTTAAAATGATGACAGTTAAGCAAGAGAATCAAATGACTGTATCTCCATGGAAACATAGACATGACATGGTAGTTGTCAAGTGATAGTTTTGAAAATGAAAGTTTAACTTGTTTAGGACCAAATTTGTCATAAGGAGCTATCTGATGTGATAAGAAGACGTTGAGGCTAGGTGCAGTCACAGAGAAATTCACAATCTCATTTAGTTTGGATATAAGTTGATCAGTTAATAGGATATAAGTTAATTATGATAAAAATAGAAAACATAATCCAATGACTTTCTTAAAAAACTGCTTATATAAAATATTGGTAATGTTCTTCCATAAACTTTATTATTTTCTATTTAACATTTTATCAATAGGTTGCAAACTACTGAATCCAATCTAGTTTTGAACCAGACAGCAAGAATGGAACACTTTCTTAATTTTTATGATTAACTTAGTTAATTTAATATGATTTTTATATTTAAAAAAGAATGAAAAAACACAATAGACATTATCATGGGGAACATACTAATTTCTACCCAATAAATACCTACTTCCAATAATGTATCTTGGTGTTAAAGAGTAAAGTAATATAGAGCATATATTCTGTTTTATAGAGTTTATGAAACAAAAGCCATTCTATACAATATTTAAACAAATTGAGTACCACTTTGGTCCTTCACAGTGTTGTCTGAAAATGTTTATACTCCAGAATTTCAAAATTTCCTTCAGTTTTCTGTGCCTGTAATTGTAATGAAAGAGAAAAATAACACCTAGAGAATAGTCACATTATAGGAGCAATGGTTTCATTACCACATTCTTCTGTAAATGTTTTCCAAAATTAAATATTTAAACTCTAAATACTCTAATGTCATGAAAATGAATAACTCAGGAAATGGGAAACTTGGCTTTGAGACTTTACAAAGGATGTTTGACTAGAAAACAGGTCATTCCATTCCTATAGTCATTGGGTAACACAATACAAATGGCAAAAGAAAATACATTAGTTGTGAACTTCTTAAAAAATTTTTTGAAGCCAAATCTAGGTTAGAATCAGCTATGGAGTCAACATCTTGTGTCCATTAGTGAATTAGTTGAAGCCTGGGGAAGTGGAGGACAAGAGAGAGAAGTAGAAAGTTTGGCTGGCTAGGGGAAAGCAGGGCTGTGTTAGGCCCGTGGAGGAGTGAAGAACAGAAACCATAAAGCCCTCTGCTACATGACTTTGTTTCCACTGATTACCACAGGAAGGGCAGGACGTCTTGTGATTATTGGTTAATACTGCAGAGGCTCATTTGAAAAGGGTAACTTTAAGATAACTTTCAGCTGAGGATAAATAGCTATGAAATTCCTAATTTAGTGCAGGTTTCTTAGGATAAAGCTTTATGAATACATTGCTCTAGATGACAGTTTGTATCTCTCCCCCAAATTCACACATTAGAACATAACTTCCAATTATTAGGAGGTGAAGGCTTTGGGAAGTAATTAGATCATGAAGGCACAACCCTCATGAATGAGATTAGGGCCCATATAAGAGAGATCCCAGAAAACTCCCTTGTCTCTCTATCACGTGAGGACACAGGGACAAGACTGCTGTCTATGAATCAGGAAATTGTTCTTCACCAGACAAGAAATCTACCTGCACTTCAGTCTTGGACTTCCCAGTCTTTAAAACTGTACAAAATAAATTCTGTTGTTTATAAGTCACCTAGGCTATGGCAATTTGTGATAGCAGCCCAAACAGATTGAGATACTCATTCTAGTAAACAATATCAGCATTTATTCTAGTTGAAAATAATTTGTGTGACTTCTGCACTTTTCTTCCTCCTCTTCTTCTTCCTCTTCAGAAATATATGTTACATGTGATATATGGGTATAGAATAATATGGGAGCCCATAGGAACATTACTTGCCTCAATTTTGAAGATCAAGGAAGATTATCTGGAGAGAGTGCAATTTTTAACTGAGATTGGAAACCTGCATTCAATCTGATCAAGGTCATCACTAACTTTTACATTGCCAAGTACAGTAGAAGAGTTCTGTTTTCTGGCTGACTTCTGCACCATACTCATTCTTTACCTGACTTCCAAGTTATCAGCCTTATGGCTTTCCCTCTATCTTACACACTGTGTCTGCTTAGAATCACCGTCTGGGTGTTCCTGTTTTTCTTGAACACTTCATGTTAGAGTGCCCAGGGTTTCAGTGCTTTGGCTTCTTCTTTTCAACATCTCTACTTAATTCCTTGATGACTTCATATACTCTTATGGATCTGAATGTCATTCATATACTGATAACTTTCTAATTTTTAGGCCTAAATATTGCAGATTTAATTATCTCCTCCACATTTCCCCTTAACAGTCTAACAAACATTTAAAAGTCAACATACATAAAATGGAAGTTCTGCTATGCCCATCTAAACCAGTTTATTTTGTGGCTCTCTTTGTTTCAGTTGATGTAAATTCCATCCTTCTAAGTTCTTAGGACAAAATCCTACAGTCACTTTTGAGCCCTTTCTTTTATTCATACCTCATATTTTTTCTTATTCATTTTCTTCTTCTTTTTTTTTTTTTTTTTTTGGTTCTGAGGGCTGAACCCATGAGAGGCTTCATACGTGTGAGGCAAACACTCTACCCTCAGCTACATGCCAAGCCTACCTCATATTCCTTCGGTCAGGAAATTCCATGGCTTTGTTTTTGACATATATACATAATTCATTTCTTCTCAACACCTCCATTGCTGTCACCTTGTGCTATTAACTATATTCAGGACTTCATGATCCAGACAATATTGCTGAAAGTTGTTTTGCATTAAGGAACACCAGGCTTAGAAGTGTGGAATATAAAAGATGGAAGAACTGGTTATTCTTCATGGAAGCAAAGTCTTAATGCTTTTTTTGATATGCTTTATACATCTGACAGATTTCTGGACACATGCACTATAAAGTACAAACTTTCTTCAGTTCCAATTTTTGAAATGTTTCATCCTTTAAGAAGAAGGGAATCATTTGATTTTTAAAATGACAGCAGCATCTCATTGCTTTCTGTAACCGGCTAAATCCTGAAATGTTCTGGATATGTTTCTGGTCAAGGTAAATGCTGATATCTGTGGATTTTGATGAAATTCACTTCTCCCTTCACCAAACCATATTAACACTTACCTTTGACAGTTAGAATAAGAAACTGAGTAATAAATCTTAACAAACATCAATTCACAGTACTTTTATGCACTCTTGGTATATACCTCCCAGCTATCTGGATAATTCTTGATCAGAGTAATAACTTTAGGTTAAATGTGAGACACTGAAAAAAATTTTAATTACAGAGAAGGCTGCCTTAGATTTCACTATCAATTTGATCTCCTATGAAGATGAAATTAAAAAGCAAAATTAGTAGACCAGGAAGAGATTATTTCAGGTCAAACTTTCTGCATAGTTGATAACATGATTTTTTGCATTGAACTGTATCTTGAGATTTTCTTTGCTACTGAAACATATGTATTTTCTAGTCATAGGTTTTGATTAAATTCTTTCTCCCAACTCTATTCTTCTGGAGATGCTTGTTTGAAACAAATATTCTAGGAAAAATTATCTTGCTGTTTCTTAACTTTTTCACCAAGCTTTCTTCATGGTATAGTTTTAAGTAGATGCATTTGCAAATAATTGCTCTAGCATCTTGTACACTGAAACATCCCATACCAACCCTAGTTATCTCTTGGAATATTGATTAATTGGTGATTGCAGTTGTTTCCAATGATGATACTGAACAATTTTTGTCTCTTCTCCAAAGAGATCCATTAAAGGAAAAAAAATGTCTTGGATCTTCTGAAATAAAACACCATTTAGGCATCTTTTAAAAATAAAAATGAGTTCTGAATTTCCTTATTTGTGAAAAAGTGAAGTAGGGAATGTTATAATAATTTGGAAAATGATTTTGAAAGAATAATTAAATGGAGAGAAAAGTGACTCATGCATATCAACTAAGATTGCGAATTTCTAGATACTATATGCATTAAGCATATACATTGAAGGACTCCCAGAGAAGGCAAGGATTACAATCTTTTTTCCTATGTTTATAAACACAGTGGCTATTCTATTCACTCAGCTTTGAATGCAACACCACAATTTCACTTGGGATCTGCTTCTCCATCTCAAGAACATCTTTGGGGGACCTGCTTAGAATAAGGGACAAAGCAATTGCTCAGCCAGTTTTGGTATTGCTACAAAATAGGTGAAAATAATTCCCCAGATATTCAGGTAAAGAGGAAGTTAGTATTTCTAAAAGAGACTTTCCATAGCTACTCTCAGCCCATATTTTAAAGCATCAAAGGTGCAGGTCCTGATTAAGCCCTGGGATACATTACTCGTATACATGATGGTGGGGTGGACCTAGGGGCAACTATTTCATAGTGGTAAGCATGGTATTTCTGAAGCTTCATTATCTGAGCCCTAATTGTGCAACCTTGGATACATGAGATAACTTCTTTGTTTCTGAATTTCCTTATTTGTAATATGGAACTAATAATAGTGATAATTGTGATAATACCTGCCTGTAAGATTGTTGAGAGGATTATATTAGTACCCTCAAATAAATGGTGGCCATTATTGAGAGGAGGGGTTCCAATTTTAGTGACAAAAAATTTAAATAAAGATATAAGCCAGATTATCTATTCCAAAATAAAATGAGACTATTTGAAACAGTCAATTTTAGTTCCCAGAGCTCTGAAGAATACTAGATTGAAGAAATTTTTATCAACACTTAAGAAAGTATATTGTGAGAAGGGACCTTGCTGATAAGAAACAGATGCTAAAGACCTTAGTGGAGAAGACTCGGTGTTTTTACTGGAAAGGTAGACTCTGAATCATAAAGTACAGCAAAATTAGCTTTGCACAAGCTTATGTAACACCCATGTTTTTTGATCATGTGCTTTATTTGCTTCTGAGTTTCAGTGATGAAATTCTCTGAGAACTAAAGCAGGAAGACTTCTGCTTTCTCTGTTTTAGTTCTTAGAGAATGTCATCACCGAAACACAGAATCAGATAAAGTGGGTGAACAATGTTTTTCATTTCCATGAACCATCAAATAAGTAGATGACATTATGTTGAATTTGTACTCATTAAAAATATGTACCTAAAAGAGACTAGTGTATTTGTTACAAAACGTAACATTGTTCACAGATATAAAATCAACATATTGTTATGTCTTTTTAAAATATCATTCCCAGTAATTAAAAACTCCAAGTCCTTGGTTAAACTCCATGAGTTTCCCTAAATACTCAGTTTCTAGGTTACTCTCACCTCACTATCCTATAAGTATATGCTCAAGGAAAACAAACTGTAGTTCAGTTTGGTTCAATTTAGTTCAGGTCAAAAGATAAGCATCTATTATGTGCAAAGAACAGTACTAGATGGCAGCACTAAGAAGATAGTGTAGGGAAAGAAATAAAGAGGCAAACACAATCATTAGCAAATATTTGGTCAGAACTGACTGTATTCAAGAAACAGTCTATAACATGGCATTCTAGGTATTATAACAATAGATTGTATCTGACAGCCAATGGGATGGGTTATGAAGGATGAGAAAGGAAAATCTCAAAATAAAATGATATTTAAAGAGAGTTCTGAAGGAGACGAGAGAGGAAGCTTGACAGACCTTGCAAAAGAGATTTTCAGGCTGAAGGAAAAGGAAATGCAAGGACCCTTCAGTGAGATCCTGGTTCCTGTGCAAGCTGAGCAGTGATCAGGGGAAAGTGATGATCAGGGATTTGATGGAGGGAGGGTCTTATAGGCCACAGCCTGTAAGAGGTTGGCTTTGGTTCTGAATGAGAGAGTTGCTAGTAGAGGCTTTTACTCCAAGGGACAGAGAAAAGATTGCCCAGGTCAGAGGGCTTAGAGACTAGTTAGGAGGGATGGTGAAATTCCAGGACAATGGCTTGGACCAGGACAGCTATAGTGGAGGTAGTGAAAATTTTAAGACTCTGAGTATATTTTGAAGTATGAGCTAACAGAATTATTTAGGATCAGAAAAAGAAGGGATTAAGAGCGACTCCAAGATTATTGGCTAATAAATGGAAGAATGGAGTTTTGCTATGAAGGGAAAGAAGTAGAGGGTGGAAGCGGGGAGCATGTAGGATCAAGAGAACTTTTTGACAGATGGTATTTAGCATGTTTCTGTATTTATAAGAATGGAGGAGAAAAAATTGAAGATCTGAGAGAAAAAGGAAATAATTGCAGTAAGGATGTCTTGAATAAAACTTAAGGTAATGAATCCAGAAAAAAAAGAGGTGTTGATTTAAAATAAGAGCATAGGCAATTCAATTAGAATGACAGAAGGGAAGGCAAAATATGTGTAGGTGAGGTAGAATATAACATATGAAGACAGATACAAGTGCAGGTAGGTTGGTGGATTTCATGGTGGAAACTTGTAGAAGTTTATTTTCTGATGGTTTCTAATTTCTTAATAACGTGAAAAGCAAGCCCATTATCTGAGCAAGAAGAAAATGAAAGTGGTATTAGAGATTTGAATACAAATAAAAAGAATAAAATTGTCACTGAGGACCATAGACAGTGTAATAAAAGGCAATATGATTGGATTGCTAGAAACATCTTTGAATTCACTTGTTATCTGTGGTCGAAAAGTTAGTTAGACCAGTCACTATACCTGTGTTTTTGTCCAACCACACCAAGGTACAGGGGATGTGGAGAACTTGGATTTTTCCAGTGTTGGGATTTTGCTAGACGTTGACAAGGGAAGGTCAGAGGGATAGGAGAATATGGTATCTGCAGAAGAGTGATTAAGGTCTTGGGCCATGGCACTCTCTAGGTGGACATGGCAATGGGCAGTGAAACCTTGAGGAGGTGAATTTTGGTTTAAAGCTATTCCATGAAGTATCTATCAAAGTGGGCTCAGAGAATTCCTAAAGGATTAGTAGAGATAGTGGTATGCTTGAAATTGACATCATGAAGGGCTGAAGATGATGTTAAGGCCTTTGTATAACCAGGGAAGAGTGACTGAAAAGAGTTGAAGAACAAAGTATTTTGAGGAGGAAGATTAGGACAAGGGAGTACAAGGTACAGAGGATTGTCTGCCTCAGTCTTCCAATCCTGACTGCACATTCAAATTGTCTGAAGAGCTTTTTAAAAATATACCAAAGGCCAGGTTCCATCTCAGACAAATTAAACTAGACTTTCTAAATGTGGAACCTATGTACTGGTATTTTAAAAACTTCTTATGAGGTTCTATACAGGCAAGTTTGAGACCCATGGATAGACATATATAGACATAATTATAGGAAATAATTATGGAGGAAGAGAAAATGAGCCAGGAGATAAAACCTTTAAAGATTCAGGTGGAGGAAGTGGTGACCAGGATGTCTGCTCTGTACCTTTGTGAAATAGCAACATATAGATATGAAGCATTTTGATTCAGTTTACAAGAAGACTTAAAAAGCGTTTCAATTGCAAGACCTTTGAAAATACCCAGATTTTGAAATGAAAAAAACCCAGCTAATCTTCTTGGTTCTGTTTTAGAGAATCTTCCTGGTGCTTTTGTACTTTCAGAAGGATAATCCATAACAGTTCTGCATTGTACTGAATTCTGCACTGTGGCATATAGAATAAAACTGGCTTTTAGCACCAAAGTTTTCTATAAAATATTGAATGAAGAAAAGAACAGTAAAAATCAAAGTAAGTACATATTTCTAATGGAGGATTTAAATGTTCTGGAAGGTTCTTGTTTCTAAAAACAAGCAAATAAACATAGAATCTTTTACATCGGAAACAAATCCAACCGTTAATGCACACCCCAAATATCCTAGATATGCTTCTTTAATTATTCAGAAATCTTTGCTTGTGTTATAGTCTGCTGGGGCAGAATCTTCTATAACTTTTATGTTAAAAGATGCAAAAGTCTTTACTGGGTTGAAATTGAAATTATATTTTGCCCTTGCATTCTCTCTTGAATAACTTTTGCAATTCTCAGCAAAGCCTAGTGTTTATTTCAGACCTGTTCATAAATTACCATTGTGGGTACTTTTTCCCAAGGGTGGACTTCCATCATTTGTTGAAAAGATAGAGTATAACCCTATCTCAGTTCTCATTAGGGTTAGGCATTATTATTGCATGTACATTTTTCAAGGTTGTTAATCTAAATCATGAATCTTTTTAAAAGGTCACGGAAGTAAATTTTTGATATATACAGATAAAACTGTGGTTGGCAGATATTATTTCATTTGAGAAGCCTGAAAAGAATGACATAGTCCTATTTTTAATTCACAGCCTGGGAAAATTGGAAGATGGCCCTGCTGTGGTGTCCCATTCTTCCTGCTAAGGACAATACCGGAAGAGTCAGCTCCATGAACAGACAGGAAGGCAGAACACTATACCAGCAATGTTTCAGTCACATTTCTTGAGAGCTACATTTGGAGGTCTAATAAATTTGGGGTTTGCATTTTTTATTCTTTGAATGCTCCCACTTAAAATGTGGGAATCTATGTCATATAACTTTGAAGTGCTGAGTACTTCATTTAGCTAAGTGGAAAGATGTATAGAAGAAAGATAACAATCTCTTTTTGGAAGGAGGTCAGAATGGATGGGTGATGCAGGAGGCAGGAAGATGGAAGAAAATCAAATAGGAGCACAGAAGATGAATATTGTAAGCCCTGTAATTATATTATAGTTTCTTCTTTAGCCAAACCTGCCCATTGGTCTGGTGGAAGTAGGAGGAAAGAGGAGGATGCAGGGAACCATATTTACTTATTAATTCGTGTGTGTGTGTTTGAGTGTGGGTGGTGGTATGGGGCCATGAGTTCATATAATAAACAAATTTCTACAAAGGAATATTTGATATAAGGATCTCAGTGAATCATCAAGAATTGAAATTAGTTTCTTTTCAATAAAATGTCAAGTGTAGGTGAAATTACCAAAGATGGAATGTTATAAGAATCTGAAACCTTTTTCAAAATCAATCTTTAATAAAATAGAATGTGGATAATGAATAAGGACTTCTCATTAGAAGCTATTTAACAATGAGACATCACAAAAGGTTGATAATAAAACTTTCCTGATAGTCATACTTCTGGAATTTGACTTTATTTTGTCACACTGTAGTGAGGTAAAAGAAAGAAAAATAAAGAAACAATGAGATCTTTTGACCTTAGTTCTAATTTAGTTGATTCACATTTGCAGAAATGCATCCTTGTGTCTACATTATTGTGATGGAAACACCACTCATTATTTTTATGTGTATTTGAGATTCTGGCATTAGTTTATTTCTTCAGAGTAAAATTTTAATTATGAATTATGAGTATGATATTTCAAAATAAAAAACTAGGACTTGATTTTACACATGTACATATTCATGTGTATACATGCCTCCCATATATATATGTATATATATATATATATATATATATATATATATATAATATATTATATATATTCATGTGTATACCTACTACATGTACACTTACTTAAACATAATATAAATATATGCCTATATATATGCATATATATATGCCTAGTCTACACATACTATATATATATATATATATACACACACACACACATATATATAATATATGCATTATATACATATCTATCTATCTATATACACACACACATGCATATACACATATAATAGGGTGACTTGGTTGAGCTTAAAACTTAAGGGGAGATTAACCATGTGAGACCTTATAAATAATTACCTTCAAAGATAGTTATTTGAGTGAGTTGAATGAATAAGGACTTTTACTTGGCAGAGGAAGAGAAAGAATGCTGATGTGAAGGCAAATGAGATAGAGAAAATAGACAGGAAAAAAAATATTTGAGGGCTAATGTGGTGGTTTCATATGGTACCAGTATAGCTAAGCTAGATCTGTGGTTCCCAGAATTCCCTTACCATGTGGTTCAGAGTTAGGGTTGGTCAAATGAGGAAATTAAAAGAGATGTGGAAGCTGGTACTAAAGCAGTGGCCATCACATTCCAAAGGTAATGGGGGACTGGAGGTGCTGTTTTCATGTATTCTGTGGCTCATCTGCTGGGTCACCCTGGAGCATCTGCAGAGTCCATCTTTTTCTGACTCTTGAGGTGCCGTACCTTCATTTTCTCAAAGTCTTGAGTCAAATGCCCACGCATCTCAGAGATGAAAGATACCACCTCCTATAGAACACCAAAGCCATCAAGGATTGAGAGTGTCAGACACAGGACCTATTTGATCTTGTGTGTTCTTGTCATTATTCTTCCTCATTTAACATCCACCTCTGCCTACCAACTGCCAGCATGGCTTTCCCTTACAACCTAAGGCTCAACATCAGGTGTGGAATCCACTTTATTCGTGTGCTTAAAGGAAAAAATATTGGGATGAACAAGTGACTGCTCTCACAGATTGTTGAGGAAAAATAAAGAATATTGTTATGATTTGTATATGAGGTACCCCCAAAACCTCACGTGTGAGACGATGCAAGAAATTTCAGAGGTGAATTATTGGGTTATAAGAGCCTATACATAATCAGTGCATTAATTCATGAATGGAGATTAACTGGCCAAGGAGCGTAGGCAGGTAGGTTGTGGACAGAGGAGATGGTCACTGGGGGCTTGTCTTTGGGACTTACATTTTGTCCCTGGTGACAGAGAGCTTTCTTTCTGCTTCCTTGGAACCATGTCCTGAGCTGCTTTCCTTGGCAATGATGTTCTGCCTCACTGTGGGTCCAGAACAATGGAGCTGGCTGCCTATGGACTGAGACCTCTGAAACTGAGTACCAGTTATGCTCTTCCTCCTTTAATTGTTCTTGTCAGGTTGTTTGGTCACAGTGATAAAAAAGCTGACTAAAACAAACATGATGAAATTAGTTGGTTGTTTTTAAGAGCACTGGAGATTGTGAAAAGAAAATGATGAGCTTAAGCTTTTAAGTTCCCAGCTAAAGGATGGAAAATAGAATAGAAACTTCAATGACCACTAAAATAAAGAGAAACTTAAAAAGAAATTTGCTGTGACTGTGGTATGTGTATTGAAGTGTGCCTGTCTGTTATGTGTATGGGAGGAGTGCACGACTCTTATAGCTGCATTGCTGAGTTTTCTGAGAACCAAGCCCAGAGTCTAATTTTAGGAGTGGTTTATTATAATGCAAATTGAATTCCCAATCTGGAAGGCTCTTTTTGTAAGAGTTAGGTAATTGTCTGAGAAAGAGTGGGATTCTTAAAATTGGGATAGAGGTGTACGGATAGATTCTGTTGAAACTGAAGACTTGAACCCGCATATATCAACAAGTTCCTTTTGTCCCTAGAGTCAGCCCTTGTTCCTCAGCTCAGCCAGGTTGTCGCCTCTTTCCTGAAGGACCTGTCACAGTCTCCTCTGAGACGGTGGCCTTATAAGATACTGCCAATCGTCCTCAGGATTTTAGAACTATAACAAGACTTAAGTTACAGAAGAGCCCAGAAGGTGAGGTGCAAAGTGTGAGTCATGAGCAGTTGTAACACGTGGTAAAATTTTGCTCACTTGCAATGATAGAAACCTAGAGCACACCGATTCTCAGGAATTAGGACAGGCTGAGTTAATTGATATTAAAGATATGAGCAGAGATTCTGTATTTAATAAGTTAATTTGAGTAGTTGAAACAAACTCTGACAGTTTTTTTTTAAATTAAATTTAGTTCAATGAAACTTGAACCCAAGATCACTAAATGAAATTATAATATCAGAATTTCCATGAAATGCCAGATAAATGTATGGTAAAGCTTTGGAAAAACTGGAATGTTAGAGTGGATTTACAATGTAAGACCTGCTCACTGCAGTCTCATTATGTCCCCATGCTCTAGAGGACACTGACTTCCAAGCTCATGAGGAAAAAAATCCATGAAGGGCACCTCACCACTATCATAGAAGGGCTTTTTGGTGTCTATACTCTGTAGGCCAAGACAGACAATGGTAATGATGCTATCAAAATGAATTCACCTGAACAGTGGGACAATGGGGCTCTCAAAAGTCGGGAACCAAGTGATGGCGCTGGCAGAGGGAATGTGTGTTTATTTGGTTATTATAAAAGAGAAAAGCAGCCAAAGCAGTTATCAGGAGAGTCTGATTTACAGATATTTTTGGCTTTCAGTTGATCATGCAACTGAAATACATAGCATTCTCCTCCACTTTCCTATAAAGTTCCCTTGACTTTTCAATTGACCATTTAAGGGCTTAGTGCAGTTACCAGAAATTTCAAAAAATTGTAATTTTGACTTGTGGCAGAGATTCTGCAGTGGTAAAATAGGTGGCATAGAATGTGAACTGGATCTTCTTCTGTTGCGTTATGATTTCAGTTGAGATCATAAACCTGAGAATTGTAGGTGGTAAGTACGCTCCTATTTTAAATAGAGATACTAAATACATCCATTACCGAATTATTTTTTTTCCATTACCAAATTATTAAAAGCAAAGCCTCTCTATCTATCCATCAATTTCTATATTATTTAAGAGACTTAAAAGAGTTATGAGAGGGTGGGGAGGGAGAAGAGAACTTAAAATAGTGTGTCCTTGAATTAATTAGGAGTACAGTACCATAGTATTTTCTCTTCCCTCTCATGGAAAGGAACAATCAGTTGCTGGCAGTCACCTCAAGGCAATTGATGGATCTCCAAGAGAATAAATCTTTAAAACTGGAGATGCCAGGATGTAGGAGGATTGGAGTATCATTTCCTGACTGGATATTTGTTTAGCTGTAGGAACTTTTAAGTTCACTTAATATTCTTACCAGAATGGATTCTGTTAGGAAAGCCTTTACACTTTATTAAGTCCCATACAGCAGAGATGTAGATGAACAAAAAACTGTTGCTTCCTACCTGTCTGTTTCTAGCCTGGAGAATTCTTAAGCCATGAAGCTGACTGGACCAACTTGTAAAAGCAAACTACTCAGAGAAGACAAGATCCTAACAAATGGTATTCCACCATTTGGTGGGGTATGAGTGTGCAAATATTCCATAGTCCAAGTGGCTGTCAAGAAAAGATAACACTGTCTCATTGAGCCCTTACACAAGAGGGAAATATGGTAAGAGAAGCCCCGAGCGTGAGATAGTAAGAGATACACCAAAGAAGGCAACAGGTCAACTGGAGATGCATAATTCATGTACAGGAAATCTGCAGGCTAGAGGTCCTTGAGGGCAATGACTAGGGAGCACCCAAATGTGTTCCATGAGAGAGACAGCATTAGGGCATCTGCTATTGTGATTAGATACAATATCCATAGTTGCTTATTCTCTTCTGTCTACTACTTTGACCATGGGGCACACTGTGGTGTAGACAGAGTAAGGAAGTTGGGAAACAACAAAGATCCTTTGTCATCACAGTTACTTGATACAAAGGTCGAGTTTGAGTCATGGGAAAGGTGAGTTGGAATAAGTTAGACTAACGTTCTAATTTAGATGGACATTTTTAGTATGTGAGATTGGATCACACTTAATGATAATTGTTCTTGTCTCTGAAAGAGAACAGAAAGACAAGGTATATGTCTTGACAGGAGAGGAAAGTAAGGAAGCTCACTTCTTTGAATAAAATGCAATATACACAAAAATGTGCCAAGAAATAGAGAATAATAATTGCATATGGCAGCAAGATGGTGTATTAGATGCAATACTAAATATATTTTGAAGCTAAGTTAATACTCAACATTAGAACAAAATTACTAGCAGCTGTCCTAAAGAGCAAACCAAAACAAAAACCTGAACCAAGCAACTAATCTGACCAAATGATATTTTTCATAGAAAAATATAAATTGGTTAATTATTTACTGACAATTTATAGCTTTCAGCTTTTCCAAAATTATATGTGCATTTAAAAATTTGATTTTTATTTTTTGCAATTATTTTTCAGATATAGATGGCATTTCTGATTTAAGATAAGTGAAAAAAAATTATATTCCATGCTATTTTTTTCTGACTTCAATTCATGACTCCAATGAAGAGGAGGCATTCATAGATACAAAAGCAAGAACACTGAAAGAATACTATACATGGTATTTTTCTGTTCATTTTATCTAATAGAAATGTTAAAATAAGTCTTTCATGTGACAGATTAGGTAACAGCAAGCTAGAAGATCTTTTTTTCACAGCTTGCTTTTACTGTGCCATTTCCTTTCGTTTCCTATAAATGTGTTTGGCCCACAGACCTCCCATTAGTTTCAAAGGGTTTCAGTGTCTAAATATACACCAGGACATGAAAATGTGTCCTAGTAAGACTTCTATTGTCTCATGCAATAGTACTTCAGGGGGAATCCTTCTAAAAGATTGGCCATTAATTCTACTTCCTGCCCTTGCCAATGATTAGATGAGGAAATAGCGTGACTTTAAAATGAAACAACCGCACAGAGGACATTCATTAAGCTGCCAACAGTAGGAAATAATAACAAAATGTTTTCTTCTTAAATCTGGGTATGGAAATTGAACTGCAGGAGGAGGCTTTGTGGTAATGCCAAGGTAGAGTCGAGTCAGTCTTTGAATAATGGGCAGTTTATATTGGTTAAAAATATGAATGTGCATATAAATTCAGTGAGTGTGTTTTGAGCCCCAGCTATTTGCCAGGAATTGCTGTAGAATTTGGGAATGTAACAATGAACCAAAGTGTTCAAAAATCCTATATTCATATAACTTACATTCTAGAATGCAAAGATAGTAAATACAATTTTTGTGTATGCATTGTGACATGTATGTATTACTCTATGACTTACATGTAAGTCATAGAGTAATATGCTTTGTTAAGCCCACAGAACCAAGGAAGTGGAGGGAAGGAAAAAATACAGCTATAAAATATTAAATAGGATGGTTCTGGACATCCTTATCATTTAAGCAACTCAGTAAATGTCTGAGGGAAGTGAGGAAGTTAGCAATTCCTGAAAGAAGTTTCTAGGTACAGGGCAAAACAAGCGCTCATTGTGTTTGGTAGGATAGAAAAGAGACCAGTGTGTCTGGTGGAGGGAAAGAAGGGAGTGGTGATAGATGAGAACAGAGAGGTTGCAGGAACTCAGATTATGTGGGACTTTATAGACTATGGTCAGGAAAGAGGCTTTTATGTGGAGTGGGATGAACATTATTGGAGGGTTTTGAGTAGGTTCATGACATTAGCTCGACTATCATTTTGAAAGGATTGCTGTGTTTTCTGAGTTGAAGATAGATTGCCCACAGGATGGAAGAAGACTAGTTGGGTGACTATGGTACCAACCCAGATAAAGGATGAGGATCAGAGCAGCGCAGTAATGGTTGGGGCAGTAAGAAGTGAATATGAATTGAAAATAGATGCAATAAGATTTGCTAGAGCATTGGATATAGAATACGAGAAAAAAAAGACTCAAAGATGACTCCTAGTTTTTTGGTCTGAGGAGCTGGAAGGATGGAAAAAATGCTCTTGAAATGGGGCAGGCTGTGAGAGGGGAGCTTAAAAGGAAGCTCTGTCTAAGATGTGCTAAATTTAAGAAGTCCAGTAGAGCTAAGCATGGTGGCATATGCCGGTAATCCAAGCAGCTTGGGAAGCTGAGGCAGGAGGATGGTGAATTCAAAGCCAGCCTCAATAACTTAGTGAGGTCCTAAGCAACTTAGGGATACCTTGTCTCAAAATAAAAAAAAAATACAACGAGCTGGGGAAGAGACTCAGTGTTCAATTGCTGGTACCCTCCCCGCCCCCCACCACCAAATGAAGTCCACTAGACTAGGGAGTTTGGTGTATGAATCTGATGTTCTAGAGAGAGATCTTGGCTACAAACATAAATGTGGGGTGTAGAAACACACTCACACACAAGCACACATACACACAACCTAAAAGGAGTTTTAAGTGGAGTGGTGATGGGCAGTGAAAGTCTTCTTACATTACAGAGAATTCAAGGAAAAAAATGGGAATAATTTGGAGATAGCAAGTGTAGCAAAATTTTAAAGGAAATTTACAATATGGAGGAGAAGATAGATGCATGGGAGGAAACTGGAATGAGGAGTGAGTTCATCGAGAGGATTTCTTTTTCCCCGCATTTTTTAGATGGTAGAAATTATAGCAGTTTTGTTTGTACACTGATCGAAATGTCACAGCAGCAAGCAGAAAATTGATGATAGAAGAAAGAGAAAGGATTGCTGTGCTGATGTGATTGTGTAGGCGAGAGGCGTTGGTGTCTAGTGCCGGAGAGGGATTGCCTCTAGACAGAAGCAGGGATAATCCATCCGGAGTAATTGGTGGGGAGGGAGACCATGTGGGTGCAGAGGCTGGTATTTGAGTAAATGTGCTGTGGGGGCACCTTTGGAAATTCTTTTGGGGCTTTTCTCAGTGAAATAGCAAGCATGTTCTTCAGCTGAGAGAGAAGATAGGGGAAAAGATATTGGGAACCAAGAGAAGTGGGATGTAATTTTCTGGGAGGCTTCTAGAGAAATACAGGAGGATAACTGCACCCAGGTCTAGCCACTTGCTTAATGTTCCTTAATCTATCATGGGGAAGACCTGTGTGTACCATTTCTCTTAGATAATTTAAAGTGAAGCCAATCAGCCTAGTTTTATGTTACATTAAGTACATGGGGGCAGGCACAATATGATAGATATATGTCATCCATCAGGTTTGAGGTTTTTCCCGGGGCGTATAATGAAGTGAGAGAGGAATGAGGGAGAGGGAAGTATAATCAAGGGAGGGCTATAATGATGGGTTATGAAATTTAAGAAAGGCAAGTAGGGAAGCAAGGACACGAAGGTTTTAGGGACATTTAAAATGTGTTTGATTCATGAATTTTAGATCTTGGGGAAGCCAAGAATTGTTGGAGTTGGAGCACTAGAAGAAAAATGATCAAGAGTGTAACATTTAGCATTGGTCATGACAAAGACGAGACCCTAGGGCAGGAGAGTGGGAGAGAAGGGTGGGCTAGGATGATCTGACTGTAGTAGGAGATGAAGATGGAGGAACTGAGAGGAAGGCGGGCATCAGAAGGATAATGTACACTAATGTTGGAATCTCCAAAAACACAAGCTGAGTTGTTCTGGAGAAAGAAACAGTGAACCAGATGCTAAAATTTTTAAGGTCTTGGCTCCCCCCCCCCCATATTTTTAATTTAAAAAGTTTATTTCAGTTTTGAGGCACTGGGTATTGAATCCAGGGACTTGTGCACGTTAGCAAGCACTCTACCACTGAGCTACATCCCTAGTTCTTTTTATTTTTTGTTTTGAAACAGGATCTTTCTAAGTTGCTTAGGTTGACCTCAAATTTGTATTTGTTCTGACTTAGTTACCCAAGTAGTTGGTATCACAAGCATGTGCCAGTATTCATGTATTTATATATCCCAAAATGCTCAATGAAGTCTTGTCTCAAATAGAAAAGCAAAAGAATCCATTTAAATAACCTTCAATAAAAGGTTGACTTCATTATGGCATGTCTATATAATGGAATAATATAAAATAAGGCTAATTCATACACAGTGACTAGGATATATGTTACATATGTTTTTAAGTGAAGAGATTAGGTCACAAATCAATATAAAGAGTTAAATTTATTTAAAAATACATGATACTTACAGGGATCTGATGCTTCATGCATAAAGGATCATGTATCCAGCAGAAATTCTCAGGGTTTGGAGTTGGCAAAACTCTAAGGTAAAGTGACGTTTCATTTCTTTTCATAGCCATATAAGTTTTGTTCTCCACACTTGTGAGACTACTACTTAGATGGAGAAATATGAAATTACCACTATTCCTTCATCTCACAATGTGCTCTCTCCCACTCACTGTTCCTATACAAAATTAAAAATCATGCTGACTTTCATTGTTCCTACATCCTCGCTTTTTTTAGAGTTTACTACCTAAGCATGCATGTTTACACATTGTAGAACAACTCTGTGTGTGCACTTTGGATAAATAGAATAATCCATTATGAATTCTATTATGGGGACTTCTTTTGTTCAATATTATGTGTATAAAATTCATTCATATTGCAAGGTATAGGGGTCTATTTTCATTTTTGTATAATACTCTCTCTATATACTATATACCATACTTCATAATTCTGACTATTGATGGATGTTAGACTTATTCACAGTTTGAGGCTCTCATGATCTGCTATGAACATTCTTGTGCAAATATCTTGGTGCATCTGCATGTGTGTTTCTGTTGAGTATTCTAGCAATAAATTGTAAGTTATAGGGTATGTGTCACTTCAAGTTAAGTACTTGATGACAAACTTTTTACTCTCATTAGCAGTGTAGTCCCTTTTGCCTCAGAGTCTTTCCAATACTTGGTCTTGTCATTAATACTTTTAAAGCCATTTTAATGGGCATGTAAGGGCATTTCTTGTGGTTTTAATTTGTATTTCCATCATTATTAGTGAAGTTGTTCATTGGCTATTTGAGTAATCTGTTGGACATTGTCTGTTCCAATACCAAGAACATTTTCCCCTATTGGATTTTTTGATCTGTGTTTTAGTCAGCTTTTTCAGTGCTGTGACTAAAACATCCAACCAGAGCAACTTTAGAGGAGGAAAAGTTTATTTGAGGGCTCAAGGTTTCAGAAGTCTCAGTCCATTGACAGCTGGCTTTATTCCTCAGGTCTCCAGGTAAGGCAGAACAATATGGAGGAAGAATGTGGCAGAGGAAGAAGTTCATATGATGATTGGGAAGCAGAAAGATGCTCCACTTGCCAGATACAAATATGTACCCCAAAGGCATGCTCCCAATGCCACACCTCCTCCAGCCACATCCTACCTGCCTTCAATCACGACTCAATTAATCCCAATCATTTTCTCTCTGAACCCTCTTGCAATGTCTCACATGTAAGCTTTGGGGGGACTCTTCACATCCAAACCATAACAATCTGGCTTTTTTTTTTTTTTTTAAAGAAATTTGTTTCTTTTCTTTCTTTCTTTTTTTTTTTTTTTTGAAATTCAAGACATACACCTCTTTTGGATCTGTATGTTGCAAATGCTTTCTCTCACTCTGTGGCTTGCTTTTTATATCCTGTTAATGGTGGTCTTTGACAAAAACTCCAGTACAGTCATATTTATCAATATTTTCTTCGTGGTTCTGTGTGGTTTATGTGCCCTATTTGAGAAATCTTTCCCTATATTAAGTTTTAAAGAAAATACAAAGAAAACAAAGAAAATACAAAATACATCTTATTATAAAAATATGTTTATAATAAGAGCTAACATTCAGTGGAACAAATTCTCCCACATATTTATTTTTCTTTAGGTTATAAAGCAATCAAATTTTCCCAATTTGATTGCTTTGTATTTCATATTTAGTTATATAATCTACCTGAAGTTGACTTTTTGTGTTTGGAATGAATAAGTTTCATTCTGTTCCTATCTGTATCCATAAAGATATTAAATTGTTTCAACACCATTTTTGGAAAAAGGCATTTCACCCCCCACTGTTCTGTAATGCCATATTTGCAGTAAATTGCATGCCATATGTGTATGAATTAGTTTCTAAGATTTTTAATATATGCTGTTGAGCTATTTTTTTCTACTCTTATGCTGTTGTTTTATATATTAAAGACTACACCTTTATGATAAGAGCTAACCTTCAGTGGAATAAATTCTCCCACATATTTATTTTTCTTTAAGAAAGTCTTAGCTAGGCATAGCCCTTTACATTTCTACATATATTTTGTAGTAGCTTATCAAGTTCACCTCACACACATTTACAACGTTGGAATTTTTATTAGGATCCTATAAAATTTTGGTATTTTCTCATTTAGTGAGGTCTTCTTTGATATTTTTCAATAATATTTATAGTTTTCTGTATTGAAAGCTTCCATGCATTTTGTTAGAATTTTCATGTTAATGCACATTATCATCATAGTGGATGCCATGGCACAACCCCAGTCCTCCCATAGTACTGAAGCACTCACTTCCTAAGTGCTGGAAGGGCAAAGGGTTGGCAGTGCTCAGTTGAGTCTCTCCCTGGAATTTTACTCAGCAGAAGAGAGCCCCCTGGCCTAAAGCTGTGCTCCCTTCCAGGGAACATTCAATGCTTGTTTGATGAGAGGAAATAAATCCTTGTAGGTCTTTGCTAGAGTTTGTATATGGTTTGCATGTGTTGAAATTTAATTCCCACTAAGAGGTATTAAAGAGGATGGAAACTTAACCTAAGTTGTTTAGAGGTGGAGCCTTGGGAGGTGATTAGGATTATATAAAATTATTCAGGTAGAGCCTTCATGATTGAATGCAGGTAGATTTATAAAGAAATACACTAATACAATCCTCTTGTCTTTATTTGGGACAATTTTGAAAAGCCATTTCAACTTCAAGAGTTCCCTGTGGGATTAGCTGCATTGAAACAGTTGCCACAGGATTGAAATTCAGATTTTCCTTCACTCAAATCTTATTTTCCACAAGTATTGAGTTTGAGAATACTTTCCAATAATGTATGGGAATAACTATCTCAAAATCTGCAGTATTTTAATAAATTTTAAATTTTGATTGCTTTTTCCTTCAATGCAAATGAATTTTGTATAATGAGCTTATATTTATCAATGCTACCTAACATGTCTTCAAGTTTTATCTATATACAGTTTTGATTTTCTAGATATGCAAACATACCATGTGATCTTTTTTCTTTTTGAAAAAAATTGACAAATAATTGTATATATTCATAAAATACAATGTGAGTCTTGACAATTTCCTTTCTTCCTTTATAGTCATTATGTTTTATTTATTGATCTTTTCTTACTAGAGTTAGGATCTCTAGTACAATTTGGATAGATCTAACAATTATGGGATTCTTTGTCTCATTTTGAACTACAGGGAAAACTTTCAATAATGTCATCATTAAGTTATATTTAATATGGGTTTTATTTTTCATAATTGATTGTATTAAGTATCCTTAAAGAAAGATTATTTTCTTTTGTTCCTAGATTGTAAGAATGTTTTTTCATGAATAATGTTAAAAATGAAATATTTTTCCTTTTTATTTGAATAGATTACAACACTGCCCCCCCTTTATTTCTTAATGTAGCAAAATACCTGGTTGATTTTCAAATGTTAAAACAAACTTGTATTTCAGGGGAAACCCCCAAATAATGGTTTTTGCATGATCTTTTTTTTTTTTTTTAATTTTTTATTGTTGGCTGTTCAAAACATTACATAGTTCTTGATATATCATATTTCACACTTTGATTCAAGTGGGTTATGAGCTCCCATTTTTACCCCATATACAGATTGCAGAATCACATCAGTTACACATCCATTGATTTACATATTGCCATACTAGTGTCTGTTGTGTTCTGCTGCCTTTCCTATCCTCTACTATCCCCCCTCCCCTCCCCTCCCCTCTTCTCTTTCTGCCCCCTCTACTGACATTCATTTGTCCCCCTTGTATTATTTTTCCCTTTCCCCTCACTTGCATGATCTTTTTTTTTATGTAAGAATGGATTTGTTTTGTTAATTTTATGCTTAACATTGTTTCATATATGTTCATGAATGAGCCTGGCTTATAATTTTCTTTCTCATCACATGACTTGACTTTAGTATCAAGTTTATATGTTGGCCCCCAGATAAAATTGCAGATATTATTCTTATTAGTTATGCACTACATGTAGCAAGTTGCTCCTAAAACTTTGTGTTTTAAAAGAACAAGATTTATTGGCTCGCAGTTTTTGTGGTCCAAGAAAACCTTAGATGGGTCCTCTGGCTGTCAGACTCCCATGAGTGTGCAGTCATCTCAGGCCTCGACTGGGAGAGATCCTTCTCGGGCTCCTTCCTGGGTTGTTGGCAAGACCTGGTTCTTCAGTGGTTGTTGAATTGAGACCTCAGTTTCTCATAAGCTGTTGGCACAGGGCCACCCTCTATTCCTTACCATGTGAGCCTCCCCTTTGGGCATCTCACAAGACAGCTGACTGCATCTAAGAGATTAGGGAGAAAATGCAAGAGAGAGCCTACTAGCAAGAGAGAATTCACTCTCTTTAATAAGCTTATCTTGTTACAAAGTCTCCAATGATATAAATATTTACATTTGATAGGAAAACTGAGGCTCAGCAAGTCTATGTAATTGGCTTAAACCCATAGAGTTGATAAGCAGAAGTGCCAGAATTTAAGTTTGGATTTTGTGATGGTAAAAACTATGCTGAAGCTTACTCTGAAATTTTTGACTGATAAAAATCCTCTAGGGATTGTTTTCTCCAAATTGATAAATATCTCTTTTTAAATTCTTATCCAAGTCTTTGATCAAATTTGTAGACTTTCTTGGATCTTCCTGCCCTCCCCTGACCTGTGTAGCTTCTTTTTTCTATACATGGTCTTGAATAAACAAATCCAAATTTCTCCATAGTGACAATTACTGTCCCCATTATGAAAGTGACTCTGGACTTATTAGCTCTGAGTGAATGGAACTTGAGACTGCTGGCTGGGGCTGGAGCAGGCTGTTGTGAGGTAGAGTGAAGCATCCCAAGGGTTCACAACTGGATAAACTGCACTTGAGCCCACCAAACACACTTCATGGCCAGTCTCCTCCAAAAGAGATGCTGAAAATGTTTTAATAATGCACATTCTGTGGCAATTAGAATACAAGCAACAATTAGTGTTGGCAAGGATGTGGGGGAAAAGGCACACTCATCCATTGCTGGTGGGGCTGCAAATTGGTGCAACCACTCTGGAAAGCAGTATGGAGTTTTCTTAGAAAACTTGGAATGGATTCACCATTTGACCCAGTTATCCTACTCCTTGGTTTATAGCCAAAGCATACTACAGTGACACTGCCACATTAATGTTTATAGCAGCTCAATTCACAATAGCTTAACTACAGAATCAGCCTAGGTACTCTTCAACAGATGAATGGATAAAGAAAATGTTGTACATATACATGATGGAATATTACTCAGCCATAAAGAAGAATGATATGGCATTTTCCCGTAAATGGATGGAACTGGAGAATATCATGCTAAGTGAAATAAGCCAATCTCAAAAAACCAAAGGCTGAATGTTTTCTCTGATATGCAGATGCTAATTTCACAATAAGGGTGGGTGGTGGTTAGGGATAAATAGAAGTACTTTGGTTTAAGAAAAGGGGAATGAAGAGAAGGGAAGAGGAATGGGACTAGGAAAGATAGTAGAATGAATCAGACATTACTATCCTATGTGCATATATGACTACATGACAAATGTAATTCTACATCATGTACAGCAAATGTAATACTATAACATATACTCGATATATGTATATCAAATACATTCTACTAACATGTATAACTAATTAGAACAAATAAAAAATGCACATTGTGTAATAATTATACATCGCTGTTTAACCTTCATGTCTAAACAAACATGGTTCAATTTAGATAGTTGTTACATATGGTCAATCCATACTATTGAAAATTAGTACTGATGGTCAATATGCAGGGATGTGTACTGTCCACTGAAATTTATTCTTGAGTTTTGAGTTACATCAATGATTTGGGGATTTGATTTAATATCACAAGCAGTTAGCTTTATTGCTTTTAACAAAAGTTAGTCATATTATATGGTATCTGTTGTTGTCTTTTGCTTTTCTTTGATAATTTGTCCAGGATAGGGCACTTCTAATGAAGCTTAATTATATAGACAATCTCTTGGGGGGAAAAAAAAAGCAAGAGGTAAGTTTGGAATATATGCATATTTCAGCACATATTATTGGTAACAGATGAAGTTGCAGTTTATTAAATTTTAAACCAGAGGGCAAGTTATGCAAATGCTAGTAGAACAGAGAAATTTTAACATAATTCTGATATTTGGAAAGCTCTTCAAGTATAGAGAGAAAATCTGGGAATATAAAATCAAAGGAATAATGTTTAAAATTTCTGTGGTTGGGCATGTCGATCAGTAGTAGAGTGCCTGGTTGGCATGCAAGGCCTGGGGTTCACACTAAGGAGAAAACAAAACAAAAACACAAACACAAATACTAACATGCTATTCGATTTTGCTTTTGCCTTCCCAAGACCTCTGTCCTAATTTGCCTTAGGTTTCTAATTACCTGGATGGGAGGGGTAGATAGGTGGGCAGAGATTATAGGGTGGGAAATATCAAGAGTAAA